GCAGGATTACGCTAGATATAGCGCGCCAGTACATCCCGAGCCTGGTCGGTGGTATAATTATAATAACAGGATAAACCAAAGGATAATGGAAAATGAGGAATAGGAAACCAAATGAGATGAGATAAAGACCAAATGAATCAGGATAAAAAGAGGAATGAAAGAGAAAGGAAATATGGAAAGGGGAAATTAGTGTAACGGGGTCGTACTCTCACAATCATGGCCCTGTTGCCAGCGTACACGACCGGGGCAGAGCTAGGCCGCTCACCTAAGTCTGTGAGCAAGAAATTCAGCCAACGGAGCTCGTGTGCCGCCATGGCACCGGCGTAGATCTCAGCCTCATAGCTAGATTGGGCAGCAGAGGACGAGCGGGTGGACCTCCACGAGACAGCACCTGCACCAAGGCTTAAGCAGTAGCCCTGGGAGGACCTGAGAGTCTCGGCGTCGTGTGCCCAAGAAGCGTTTGTGTGCTCGGGTAAGGACCACTGGTCTGCGTTCTCCTAGCACTAGCCCCATGCCCGATGTACTTGCTAGATAACGCAAAACTCTCTTAGCTGCAGACCAGTGCTGTGGTCGGTGTGTGTCGGAAGCCACAAAGCAGGCCAGGATGCTGAGAGGGTATGCGAGATCTGGACGAGTGCAAGTCATTAGGTACATGAGGCAACCCACCAGCTCTGCGTAAGGACCACTGGGCTCTATTGACTCCTCAGGAACTAGCGCAGAGAGCCTGTGGTCTACTGACAGAGGTGTGGGCTGTGCGGAAGAGAACTGAAGGCCGAACATCTGAAGGACCTGGCGCACCAAGTGTGACTGTGTGAGAGTGATGGTGCACGCTGCTCTGTCCCTGCAGATCTGCAAGCCAAGGTAGTGGCGCAGCTCTCCTAGGTAAGTGCAGATGTGTCTCCTCAGCAGCTCGGCCGTTACGGAGGCCAGCGCGTCTCTGTCTGCAGTAGCAAAGATCAGATCGTCAACGTAAACAAGGATGTATGACGGAGTCTGGCCGGAACAGACGAAGAACGAGGGGTTTGCAGACGACGGGAAGAACTGTCAGAGTGGCATCTGACAGGAAAGCAAGCTCGTACTGTCTATCCTCTAGGACGTCACTGCCAAGGGCAGCCACACTCCTGACGGACGGAGGGCAGGCAGGGTCAGAGACTAGAGCGGTGGCGTAGTCAAGGCGGCGGGTAGCGGTGAAGTCAGTGACAGCAACAACAAGAGCCGACAGACTCGAGACAGGAACGGACGGGTCGGTAACAAGAGAGGCAAGGATACGGGGAACAAGTGGACGTGCTGCAAGGAGGAAGTCAGAAAACGGAGGCAGGGCCGCAGCGAGCGACGACGGAGGAGGAGACGGGAGGAGCGGAGGAGCACGAGAAGCGTGTGAGCGAAGCAACAGAGGGTGAGAATGCAGAACAGGGGAGGTAGGACGAGCACGAGATGGACAACGGGCCCAGACGTGAGACGGAGGAGTCGGGTCACGAGAGAGGGGAGGAGACACATGAAGAGAACGAGGAGGGAAACGAGCCGGAGAAGTGTCCGCTGGAGGAAACACAGGATCGTAGACCGGCAGAGGAGGAGGTGGTGGCGGCTGAGAAGGCACTGGCAGGCGGTCAGAGGAAGGGAGGCTGAGGAGGCTGCTGCCCGACGCCAATACCAGAACCTCCAGCAGCACCATGGCTCCCTCCGAGAAGCCCCACGCCAGCACCCCCAGAACGGGAACCCGCTCCAGTACCTGCTCCCGCACGCTCCCCAGCACCCTCGGAACGCACAAACCCTAGCGGCGGTGACGACGGCGGCTGCGGCTGCGGCGGCGACGGCAGCTGCGGAGGCGGTTGTGGCTGTGACAGCAACGTCGGCGACAGGGGAGGAGAGACCAGGGTAGGGACAGGTGGTGGAAGGGACTCTGCCGAGCTGCGAGAGTCAACAGACTCCACGGCAGGGACAGGGCAGGGAGGGGGAGGAGCAGGGGCGTCCGGGGGAGGGGGGGAACTAGGAACTGGGGGGGAGTGACCGGGTGACCACGGAGGGGAAAGCGGTGCTAGAAAGAGACGGACTTGTCAAAGGTGACATCCCGAGAGTGAAAGAAACGCTGAGATGGCGGGTGGTAGAAGTGCCAGTCAGACGAGTCGAGGGGGAAACCTAGGAAGACACAGGGGACGTTGTGGGCAGTGAGCTTGTCCGTGCCAAAGGCACGAACGTGAGCAAGGCAGCCCCAGACGTAGAACGCAGACGCGTCACCAGGAGACCCGGTCTAGAGGAGGGTCGGCAAAACCTCCGGCCGCAGAGGGTGCGGCCACAGGTTAAGCTGGTGGGTGGCGTAGCGAATGGCGAACGGCCACACAAAATGGGGAGCACCGACATGGATCATGGAGGTATGAGCCACCTCCATGTCCAAACCGATGCGTCGCTCAGCGACCCCATTCTGTTGCGAGGAGTCCGGCAGGGTGTACGTCTTGGTGATGCCCTCCGCACGACAAAAGCGACCAAGGCAGCTAGAGGCGAACTCGCCACCATGGTTGGAGTAAAGACGCAACCCAGGGAGACCTCGGTGCACACGCCAGAGACAAGCCACGGGATAAGAACGTCGGCCTTCCGCTCCAGGGGAAACACAGTTGTGTAGCGAGTGCAGTCGTCGACAAGCACTAAGAAGTAACGCTCACGACGCGGCCCATGGACGGGGGCGCGGCCCCAGACGTCCATCTGCAGGGTCTGTAATGGTGCGGCGCTGGGGGGGAACGAGGAGGAGTGAGGGGCACGGCGGAACTGGCCCTCGGCGCAGGGGGTATATGGAGGCGCTGCCGAGGAGCGGAGCGCAAGGAATGACGCAGGGATACCTAAGACAAGACCGTGCTAAGACATGTGACGGAGACGTATGAGGGGGGGGTGACCTAGGCGGTGGTGCCACAGAAGCGACGGGTGAATAAGCGACCGACACGAGCAAGCTGCAGCAACCTGGGTAGACGCTGCCATCTGGGGGGCCGTCCCAACGGGAGGGGACGCGGTGTCCAGCGTGAACAGGCCAGACACCGGGTCCCGGGGGAATGTGGTGAGGGGGGCACCAGTGGCGGCCTCGGTACAGACAGCGTACCTCTCATGACCAGGGAACGTAGTGGTGACGCCGAGGTTCTGAAGACAGCCGACACCAACCAGATTCCAAGAGAACGAGAGGATGTGCAGGCCTAGAAGAGAGCTCGAAGGAACTGCCGGACAGGGGAGAGTGGTGGAACTACGAGTGACTACCGGACCTGAGGAAGGGTTTGCAAGGGCAACTGTGCCAGGGAGGGCAAGCGCCGTAAGCGTAGTGTGGTCCCGAAAGAAACACTGAGATGCGCCTGAGTCGAGAGTGAAGGAGAGCTCGGCAATGGCGACTGGGGGCAAAGGAGCTAGGGAGGAGCCAAGGCTAAACCAAGCAAAGGGTCTTATGCATGACGCAGCAGGGGAGCATAAACTAGGCACACTGGGCACACCTACACTAGGCAACACGGGGTAATAGGAACCAGTCACATTACAGTCATCGACATACAACACACACGATGCAGAGCTAATCTCATCCATGTCCATATCCTAACATCACGGCGAAGCAGACTGTGCCAGTCGGGGAGGTCAGGCGCGAGGCCAAAGCGGAGACGAAACAAGTCTTCCAGGCGATTGAAACATCGAGCTGAGGTATGACCAGTCTTACCGCACACGAGGCCGTGGCGAGGACCGGTCTAGAGCTGGTACTGGCAGCGCCCGTCACTCGCACCACCACCCAACGACAAGCTACGCGCACGACCACTGCGACCACCACCACCACCAGCGCCAGGCCACCCAGAGGGGAGGTGGTCGACCCTCCGCTGCGACTGCTGCTGCTGTTACAGCTGCTGCTGCTGCTTCTGGTCAAGCTGTGGCGCCTGCTGTTGCTCCCGTTGGGGCTGCTGCTCCGAGGCACCAGCTCTAGCCCCCTCGCCGGTACTACCGCCAACGGATGAACCACCTCTACCACCACCTCCACCCCCTCCTCCACTACCACCGCCATACCCAGCCTTTGGGCGGCGGGCCTTACCATAACGAGACTGCGCTGCGGCCACCGCGGCAGCGGTCTCAGCAGCAGGGGCTGTCTCAGCTACAGCCGCAGAACCGTCAAAGTAAGTGCACTGGGCGGGAGCACAACCCTTAAAGATAGGGACCGACGCACTACCACTAGACTGGAAGATAGAGCGATGACGGGTCTCTATGGCAGACAAGGTGTCGACAAAGTCAGGGAGGGTGAGGTTTGCGGGGTGCAGACTCAGAAAGTGGTCGCGGGCAGTGGCAAGGTGGTTAGGGAGGCAGGTGGCAAGCAGGTAAAGGGTAGAGCAGATAGGGGGCTGGAGCACACGGAGCTGGGCCTCAGTGCACGCAGCGCGCCAGCTCGCGTCGAGCATGCACAGGTGCGTGGCAATGTCAACAACAGTGGGGAAAGACACAAAATTTGGGAAGAGAATGGGAAGGATCAGGCAGCCGGCAGAGGCAGAGGACGGGGTGGAATAATGCTCGACAATAGCCTCTAGGAACTCCTGCGCAGTCCTGACCGACTTAAAGCGGGGACACTCAGACAGGGAGAGGGCATGGCTAATTGCGAGCTGAGCGACAGCGTCACGCGACAGCCAGACAGCAAGGGCAAGGGCAGCAGCGGCGGCGGACTCACGGTCAGCAGACGTGGGGTCAGCGGGGAGAGCAGCAGGTGGGTCAGGGCAGGGGAGCGTACCGTCAATGTGGACGGCCAGGGAGTGGCCGTCCTGCCGCTGACCAGTGAGGTAACGGCGGAATTCGACGAGCCATGCGTTGAACTCAACCGGCTGACCCTCTACGTCAAAGCGCAGCACCGAGTCTGTCATTAAGGCCGCTCGTAGTAGTTTGCACCCAAGGCTGCATAGCTTTCACCCATAGGTCCGAGTCACACTGCTTGCTCCCGCCCCTGGCCAGCCAAGCAAGCATCACGAGATGCAAGGCGAAAGGAGCCCCAATCCATGCTGCGACCAGTAGCGAGGATTGTCGAAACCATTCCTCACCACAGAATTGTCTCCCTCCTCTCTCCCCCACCCCCTAGGAGGAGGAGGAGGAGGAGGAGGAGGAGGAGGAGGAGGAGGAGGAGGAGGAGGAGGAGGAGGAGGAGGAGGAGGAGGAGGAGGAGGAGGAGGAGGAGGAGGAGGAGGAGGAGGAGGAGGAGGGGGAGAGGAGCTCCTATCCCCCCTAGAATTTGGGATAAGAGGAGCTTGAGCCTCTTTGCTTTTTCCATTGCACTACTTCTACAAGAATTCTTCAGCTCCGACTGATCAGAGCGACGAGGAGCAGTGCTGTACGGTGCAGTGCGGTGGAGTGCGGTGTAGTGCAGCGCCATGCGGTACAGTGCAGTGGGGCGCGGTGCAGTGCGGTGCAGTGAGGTGGGGCGCGGTGCAGTGTGGTGGGGCACAGTGCAGTGCGGTGCTGAGCAGTGCAGCACGGTGGGGCGCGGTGCAGGACGATGGAGAGGGCCGCTTTAGCAACCGGGGACCGGGAAACATGGCGGCTGAGCAGCTGGGAGTCGGGGCCGCAGGGCGGCTGGGTGACGGGGCCGCGAAGCAGCGGGGCGACGAGGCCGCGGGGCGGCTGGGCGGCTAGGCGACGGGGCGGATAAGGCGACGGGGCGGCTAGGCGACGAGGCGGCTAGGCAACGGGGGGCTAGGTGACAGGGCGGCTAGGCGACGAGGCGGCTAGGCAGCGGGGCAACGAGGTCGCGGGGCGGCTGGGCGACGGGGCCGCGAACCGGCTGGGCGACGAGGCCGCAGGGCGGCTGGGCGACGAGGCCATGGGGCGGCTAGGCAACGGGGCCGTTAGGCGCCAGGTGACGAGACGACGGGGGACAGGGGCGGCTAGTCGCTGGGTGATGGGGCGGCGGGGCAACGGGCGGCTAGGCGCTAGGTGACGGGGCTGCGGGGCCAGCGGGGCGGCTAGGCGCTAGGTGGCGGGACAACGAGGCCACGGGCGGCAAGGCACTAGGTGACGGGGCCGCGGGGCCAGTGGGGCGGCTAGGCGCTAGGTGACGGGGCAACGGGGCCACGGGCGGCTAGGCGCTAGGGAATGGGGCCGAGGGGCCAACAGGGGCTAGGAGATGGGGCCGACGGGCCAGCTAGGCAACGGGGCAGCGGGGCCAGTGGGGCGGCTAGGCGCTAGTAGACGGGGCAGGCTAGGACCTAAGGCGGAAGCGCGGGTGGGCGGGGGGGACCTAACCTACTCATGTTACCATCTCAAAGTTCGAATTTGTTGAGTAGAATGAGAGTATACAGGGGTATATAGCTAGTGGGTTGTACTCTCTATGGCATGACCCTATGTAGTCTACTAAACATACACACATATGTTTGACATTGAGGACCTTGATTTTGAGAGCCAAGGCACGCATTTCCCCCTCAAATGTCACTTCAGAGTACCTGCAAAATAAAACGTGCAAGAGAAATACTGAGTGCAAAATACCAAAAACCACGACACAGTGAGACACGCGCGGCGACAAGTGCGGAGAGCGGGAGAGATACGCTAAGCGGGAGAGGTGTTCAAAGCGGGAGCGCAAGAAGGAAAGCCCTTGCGAAATCGAAGGAGAGGGGCAGAAAGAGAGGGAGGTGGGCGGAAAAAGTGGGAGAGGCGCAGGAATAGAGTTTGAGGCGCGGAGAGAGAGCAGAGGTGCGGAAATAGAAGGAGAGGTGCGGAAAAAGGAGAGGTGTGGAAATAGGAGAGGTGCGGAAATAGGAGAGGCATGGAAATTGAAGAAGTGATGTGGAAATAGGAGAGGTGCGGAAATAGGAGAGGCGCGGAAATAGAAGGAGAGGTGATGAAAGGGAGGGAGAGGCAGGGAGAGAGAGGGAGAGGCGTGGAGAGATTGGAAGAGGCGCGTAAACGGAGGGATAGGTGAGGAGAGAGAGAGGGAGAGGGTGAGTGCTCATTAAAAGGAGCGGGACTATCGCCATCTCCCTGCGCCACATCCTCTTTCGCTGCGAAACTCTCATCCGCTCTCTCTCTCTCTCTCTCTCTCTCTCTCTCTCTCTCTCTCTCTCTCTCTCTCTCTCTCTCTCTCTCTCTCTCTCTCTCTCTCTCTCTCTCTCTCTCTCTCCCTCTCTCTCTCTCTCTCTCTCTCTCTCTCTCTCTCTCTCTCTCTCTCTCTCTCTCTCTCCTGCACTACACTCTCTCCCCCGCCGCGCTACACTCTCCCTGACTCACTCCCGCGCTACACTCTCTCTGCAGCCGCGCTGCTCTCTCTCTCTCCCACCACGCTACTCTCTCTCTCTCTCTCTCCCGCGCTACTCTCTCTCTCTCTCTCTCTCTCTCTTCTCTCTCTCTCTCTCCTCTCTCTCTCTCTCTCTCTCTCTCTCTCTCTCTCTCTCTCTCTCTCTCTCTCTCTTCCACTGCGCTACTCTCACTCTCCCGCCGTGCTACTCTTTGTCTCCCGCCACCCAACTATCTCTCTTTCCCTCTCGCCGTGCCAATCTCTCCCTATCTCGCCGCGCCACATTTTCCTAAGCTGGAAAACACAGGGGGTCAATGCGCGGAACTAGGTAACCAGGCGCCTGTTACTAGCTTGCAACTAGCTGGAAAATGAGCTTCACATAGGAAAAGGAGAAGTGCTCCTTGCGGCAATTATGTCTCAGAGTTAGAACAAATGACCACAATGAGAGAATACAGGAGTATATAGCTAGGGGGTTGTGCTCTCTATGTTAAGACCCCATATAGTCTGCTAAACATACACAAATATGTTTGACACACCCTCTAGGAGAGACAAACAGCTCAGGGTGGCACTACTAGTCCAACCTCTGAGGCAAGGGTCTAAAGACCAGTCAAAAGAGTACAAACAAGGCAAGAACAATACCAGGGCCACACTACTAGTCCAGCCACAAGGCCAGTCAGGACAATATATAAAGAGTTATACATCATCAAGGTCCTAGCGAATGAGGTGCTACAAGAACGAGTCCAAGCTGTACACAATGCCGCTGATGATCTTTAGGCGCAAGCGCCTTCGTAAAGATATCAGCTATGTTGGCACCGGAGGCCAAATGTACTGCGCGGGCCTGGCGATGCGGGTGTAGCTCGCGAAGGAGGAAGTACCGCAGCTGGATGTGCTTTGCTCTGCCCTCGAGTCTAGGCTCCTGACACAAGAGGATCATGGCCCTGTTGTCAGCGTACACGACCGAGGCAGAGCTAGGCCGCTCACCTAAGTCGGTGAGCAAGAAAGTCAGCCAATGGAGTTCCTGTGCCGCCATGGCACCGGCGTAGATCTCAGCCTCACAGCTAGACTGGGCAACAGATGACGAGCAGGTGGACCTCCACAAGATGGCACCTGCAACAAGGCTAAAGCAGTAGCCCTGGGAGGACCTGAGAGTCTCGGCGTCGTGTGCCCAAGAAGCGTCTGTGTGCCCGGTAAGGAGCACTGGCCAGCGTCCTCCTAGCACTAGCCCCATACCCGATATACTTAATAGATAACGCAGAACCCTCTTAGCCGCAGACCAGTGCTGTGGTTGGTGTCTGCCGGAGGCCACAAAGCGGGCCAAGATGCTGAGAGGGTATGCGAGATTTGGACGAGTGCAAGTCATCAGGTACATGAGGTAACCCACCAGCTCTGCATAAGGGCCACTAGGCTCTACAGCCTCCTCCGAAACATGAGTAGAGAGTCTCTGGTCTACTGGCAGAGGGGTGGGCTTTGCGGAAGAGAACTAAAGGCTGAACCTCTAAAGGACCAGGTGCACCAAGTGGGACTGTGTGAGAGTGATGGCGCGCGCTACTCTATCCCTGGAGATCTGCAAGCCAAGGTAGCGGCGCAGCTCTCCTAGGTCAGTGCAGATGTGTCTTCTCAGCGGCTCGGCCTTCACAGAGGCCAGCACGTCTCTGTCTGCAGTAGCAAAGACCAGATCGACTTCGTAAACAAGGATGTAGAACGGAGTCTGGCCGGAACGAATGAAGAGCGAGGGGTCTGCAGACGACGAGATGAACTGCAGGTCCGCAAGTGTAGCATGCAGCGTGTCGTGCCACTCACGGGGCGCCTGGCGCAGGTCGTAGACGAGGCGACGGAGGAGCCACTTGGTACCAGGAGGAAAGGTACCAGAGAAGCCCTAGGGGCAGCGCAGGTAGACCTGCTCGTGTAGACTGCCCTCGAGGAAAGCTGTGGGGAAGTCGAGTGAGTGCCGCTCCTAGTCACGCTGTGCTGCTACGTGTAGCAGTGCCTGAAGAGTAGTCATCTTCGGGGTCGGGGCGAAGGTCTGAAAGACGTCAACCCCCTCACGCTGACTGAAGCCACGAGCAACCTAACGCGCCTTGAAGACAGGCAGCTCTCCAGGAGGGTGCTTCACTTTGAAGAGCCATCGGCCATCGACTACGTTCACACCAGGTGGGGGAACTGCGTCGACGAAGGTACCGGTGGATCTCCAAGATGCCATCTCTTGCTCCATGGCAGCTATCCACCAAGAGGCCTAGGGTCATGAGGTGGCCTCCGCGTAGGTGCGAGGTGTCACAAGATTGAATGTGTCGAGGAAAAGTTGCACTATCGATTGATACAAGGCGTTTTTATGCTTCCATAATACATCAGGTAACCAGGTTTATCCTATCCAAAGGGAATAGACCCTTCTAGAAATAGAATCACCTTGCGTATAGCCACGCGAGGCTATTGGCTTTAAGGGATTACGGCAGGATTACGCTAGATATAGCGCGCTAGTACATCCCGAGCCTTGTCGGTGATATAATCATAATAATAGGATAAACCAAAGGATAATGAAATTGGAAACCAAATGAGATGAGATAAAGACCAAATGAATCAGAAGTGAGAGGGGAATGAAATAGAAAGGAAATATGGAAAGAGAAGAAGTGTAACGGGGTCGTAATCTCACACTTCCCCCCCTAAAAGCTGGGTGGTAAAAGTAACACCCTGCTTGACAAGGTAGTCGCGAAGAGGACGACGAGCGTTACTCATCGCAAATTCAGGACCCCAACTATCCTCAGAAGGATCATAACCCTTCCAACGAATGAGAAGCTCAACGTCGCCATTCCGATGACGACGGTGTGCGAGCACGGACTCGACCTCGTACTCAGGTTCATCGTGGACGAGGATGGGTGGCAGCAGCGGGGGTTGGCGTCCGGTAAAGACCGTGTTAGGATCTCGATAGGGCTTCAGAAGTTGGACATGGAAGGCGTTGTGAATCTTCCAGGTAGCGGGTAGGCTCAAGCGGAAGGTAACAGGAGTGACTTGTGCTTCGACGAGAAAGGGCCCGCAGAAGCGAGGTCGCAGTTTGGATGGAAGATGACCGATGTCGAGATTGCGGGTGTCAAGGAGAACCCTCTCTCCCATGGTGATGGTGTGGTCGGTGCGGTGACGATCGGCCTGGCGCATCTATTGCTGTTGAATGTCGATGAGGCGCTTGTGGGTCCGATCCCAAAGTTGGTGCAAGGTCGTGATGAAGTCATGTGCGGGTTGGACTGCGGCTGCGACTGTCGGTTTCTATGGCATGAGCGAGTGGCGTCCGTAGCAGAGGAAGAACGGCGTCTGTCTAGTAGCGGCATGATTGGCGTTGTTGCAGGCAAACTCCAGGACGGGCAGATGCAAGTCCCATTTAGAGATTCCGTCTTTGCATGTGGTGCGGAGGAGTTGCTCTACAATCTGGTTGAGGCACTCGGTCTGTCCATCTATCTGCGGATGGTAAGCTGATGACATGGCGAGTTTGGTCCCGAGCAGAACATCAGTTCCTTCCAGAACTTGCTGGTCAACTTGGGATCTCGGTCGGAGATGAGTGTGGTTGGAATGCCATGTTGTGAGATGATGTAGCGAACGAATAGTTGTGCTGTCTCTTCGGTGTGTGCTGTCGTGTGTGTCAGGATGAAGTGTCCCATTTTGGAGAATTTGTCAATGACGACAAGGATTGCGTTATGACCGCTTGTGGTAGTTGGTAACCCGGTGATGAAATCCAGACTAACCACTTGCCATGGCTGTTCTGGGACAGGAAGAGGCTGTAACAGTCCTGCCTTTTTCTGCTTGCTGCTCTTCTATCTGTTGGCACGTAGCACATGAGGTGACGAATTTTTTGACGTCATCCGCCATGTGGGGCCAGTAGTAGTGCTTTGCAATATTGGTGAGCGTCTGTTGCTGCCGAAGTGTCCAACGTATAGGACATCGTGGTATTCTTCGAGTAGCAACTAGCGCAAAGGAGGGCAATTGGGTACCCGGATTTTCGTGGATCCTTTCCGGTATGCGATGCTACTGTCCCACTGGAGCATGTGTCGTTTTGTTGCCAAAGGAGTTTCACGGTCGATGGCGTACCCGTATGTGAAGAGTCCCTTGAGTAGTGGATTCATCCCTTCAACCTGGATTGCGGCAACGTGTGCAGGCCGACTGAGAGCGTCTGCTTTTTTTTTTTTGCCGGGCTTGTACACGATGTCGTAGTGGAAGTGTGTCTCGAGGAAGTCAATCCACCAAATCTGCCGCCTAGAAAGGGTTGGTGTGCCTTCAAATATTTCAGGCTGCAGTGGTCGGTGTAGACGGTTGTTTTTCGTCCTTCAAGATAACATCTCCACCTTTTGAAGGCGATGATAATAGCAAGGGCCTCCTTGTCGTGTACTAGTTCTGCCCCGTGTAGTTTCTTGCTGAGGTAGGCGATTGGTTGCAGCCCATTCCCTTGGTCTTGCATCAAGACTGCTCCCACTGCTTGGTCGCTGGCGTCAGCTTTGATGACGTAGTCGCGTTCGGGGTCTGGCAAGATGAGTACGGGTGCGGACGTGAGTGCCTATTTCAGCTGCTCCATGGCTTCCTGATGTTGTGGTTCCCATTTATAGGGCGTGTTCTTCTTCAGTAGATTTGTGAGCGGTGTGGCGATTTTCGCGTACTATGGCACGAACCTCTTGTAATAGTTAGCGAAGCCTAGGAACTGCTGCAACTCCTTCACATTCTCGGGTGTCTTCCACGTGCGTATGGCTTCGATCTTCTTGGGGTCACATGGATCTCCTTGTCGCATACGGTGTGTGATGCTCCGCTGTCCACGAGTGCTTGGAGGCGTCGTCCATTGCATATGACCTCGAGCACGAGGGGCAAGCGTTGCTCGGATTACCCAAAGATAGTCTAATTGATAGGCTCATAGGGTACATCCCAATATTCCGTACACACCTTTTTGTTGCTATCTGCTCCTAAGCTGGCAGCTGGCCGATGCTGCTTGGAGAAGGGTTCTTCTCCAGGGCCCAGAGTTTCCTTGACGACTGTGTGTGTCGTTGATGCTGAATTTGCTGAGGTGGATGCATCCGAAGGAGGAGTTCGGGGTTTTTGCAGCTTCCTGTAGATCTCCAGCTTCCTCTTGAGCTGCTTCAGCTCCACCGACGTCTTCTCTGGGGAACGGGTAGTCGTTGTGGGCTGGTGTCGGGAGAGGACGTTGACTTCGTGGAAAGGTCGGCTTCTTTCCACACTCCATAATTTTGTCCCCAAGTTCTCCGGTACCGGTACGATCTCCAAAATTTTCTGCTTCTTTTGGAGTCCCTCCCGAAATTTCTCTAAGGCTCTGGCCCCTCGAGAATCATAAGTTTTCATTAAAGCATCCTTATAAGATAACTTTAAGGAATCATTATCATTTCTTGGATTTTCTTGGAGTTTCCCCATCTCGGCAGAGTCTTTTTCGCGTAGTCATATTTTTTCTCGCCGATTTTCCCTGGCGAAGACTGGTCGTGGGGTGGAGATTTTTCCCCATCATTTTCTCCTGATTGCGTCGAATCAGCTTCGTTGAAGTTGATTTTCCCGGAATCCCGCAGCCGCTTTCGGATCTTCTCTTTTCGCCTCGTAGAGCCGCAACCACAGGCGAATTCCGTTTTTTTTCTTCTGATTGGCCGAAGAATTTCCGCCACTGTTGCGTGCCCGATACTCTGCTCGTGCGGCTTTCATTTTGTTGCAGTCGAAGATTCGATGGCCCGGCACCCTGCAAAAATCACACGTATAGTTGGTGTTTTTCGGACGTGGCCGCCCGTCGAACCTGTCGATTTCCATCGGGTCGGCGAACGTGGTGTGAGCCGAGCAGTCGCCCTGTCGCGTACTGCCAACGTGCGCCCGTCGTGTTCCGGCGTTGACCATGTCAAACCGCTCCGCTGCCGATACGACGTCACTGTAGCTCGCGTAATTTGTCGCTGCTACCTGTCGTTTGACTTCGGTCTTCGGCCCGGCGAGATACGACTGTACTTTTTCCCCTTCGGTCAGATCAGGAATGCGGTTATAAAATTCCTCCATCTGTTGCGTGTACTGCGCTACACTCCCGAACTGTCGATGGCGATGGATTTTTTCCCGAGCAAGGAAGCCCGAATTTATCAGCTCGAAACGTTTCAGCAGGTCGGTGCGGAACTGCTGCCACGTGGCTTCGCCGTGGATGAAAGTACTGTTGCCGCCGATCCACTCGAGTGCCGGCCCTCGCATCAGTGTCGTCGTGAGTCGCACGCGCTGACCGTCCCAGACTGGCGAGCTCCATCCGATGGCTGCGAAGTAGATCTCCATTCCGGCAATCCATCTGCAGACGTCGGAGTTTCGATCGCTCGGATCGAATAGCTCAGGCGGGCGCGGCTTCGAAGCCTCGAGAAACTGCTGCGACTACTGCGCCGTCGCCGTTGTCGTTTCGTACTGCGCGCCAGCGAGTCGAGTTACTCGATCGAACTCGTTTCACCAAGCTTCGCGGTCGGCTCGCATCTCCTCCTGTAGGGCGGCGATGCTCGCGAAGAGCTGCCGGGTAACCTCGGCGTTGTCGAAGTTCGCCATCCTGTTCAAAACACGCGCGGAGGGGTTAATTCAAAAATGCGGAGCTGGTGCTTACCAGAATCGGCGCTGAAGTAGTCGCCCCCGGTGGTTTTTTTAAGCAGGTTTTCCCGTTGCTCCTGCTTAGCTGAGTGCAGCCGAGTGAGAAAAGCTCTGATTACCAAGTGTCACAGGATCGAATGTGTCAAAGAAAAGTTGCACTATCGATTGATACAAGGCACTTTTATACTTCCATAGTACATCAGGTAACCTGGTTTATCCCATCCGATGGGAATAGACCCTTCTAGAAATAGAATCACCCTGCGTATAGCCATGCGAGGCTATTGGCTTTAAGGGATTACGGCAGGATTACGCTAGATATAGCGCGCCAGTACATCCCGAGCCTGGTCGGTGATATAGTCATAATAATAGGATAAACCAAAGGATAATGAAATTGGAAACCAAATGAGATGAGATAAAGACCAAATGAATCAGAAGTGAGAGAGGAATGAAATAGAAAGGAAATATGGAAAGAGAAGAAGTGTAACAAGGTCGTACTCTCACACGAAAGGTCGGGATGTGAAGGGTGTCTAAGTCACCCTCAGGGACTAGCAGCATGGAACAGAGATGGGGAGCAGCCTGTGATAGGAAAGCAAGCTCGTACTGTCTGTCCTCTGGGACGTCACTGCCAAAGGCAGCCACACCACCGACGGACGGAGGGCAGGCAGGGTCAGAGACCAGAGCGGTGGCGTAGTCCATGCAACAGGTAGCGGCGAAGTCAGCGACAGCAGCAACAAGAACGTCAAGGCGCGAAACAGGAACAGACGGGTCGGTAACGAGAGAGGTAAGGACACGAGGAACAAGGGGTTGCGTGCCATGGAGGAAGTCAGAAAACGGAGGCGGGGCCACAGCGAGCGACGACTGAGGAGGAGATGGGAGGAGCGGAGGAGCACGAGACGCGTGAGAGCAAAGCAACATAGAGTGGGAACGCGGAACAGGGGAGGTAGGACAAGCACGAGACGGACGACGAGCCCAGATGTGGAGCGGAGGAGTCGGCTCAAGAGAGAGGGGAGGAGACACAGGAGGAGAGCGAGGAGGGAAACGAGCCGGAGAAGACTCCACTGGGGGAAACACAGGGCCATAGACCGGCAGAGGAGGAGGCGGTGGCGATCGAGGAGGCACCGACGGGCGGTCAGACGAAGGAAGGTCGAGGAGGCGAAGAGTGGACACCGGCGGTGACTGCAACGACTGCTGCCTAACGCCAACACCAGTACCTCCAGCAAAACCACGGCTCCCTCTGGGAAACCCCATGCCAACACCCCCAGAACGGTAACCCGCGCCAGTACCTGCTCCGACACGCTCCCCAGCACCCCCAGAATGCACGAACCTCAGTGGCGGTGACGACGGTGGCTGCGGCGGCGGCGGCGACCGCAGCTGGTGAGGCAGCTGCGGCTGCGGCTGCAGCGGCGCTAGGGGAGGCGAGACCGGAACATGGACAAGCGGGGGAAGGGACTCCGCAGAGCTGCGAGAGTCAGCAGACCCCTTGGCAGGGACAACCGACGGAAGGGGGTGACACGAGACACACCAGACGGGGCAGGGCGGGGAGTGGGGGAACAGGGGCGACCGGGGGAGGGCGGGGAACCAGGAACTGGGGGGGAGTGACCGGGGGACCACGCTAGGTATAGCGGTGGTAGAAGTAGACAGACTCTTCAAAGGTGATGTTGCGAGAGTGAAAGAAACGGTGAGACGGGGGGTTGTAGAAGTTCCAGTTTGACAAGTCGAGGGGGAAATTGAGAATGACACAGGGGACGGTGCGGGCAGTGACCTTGTCCATGCCAGAGGCACGAAAGTGAGCAAGGCAGCCCCAGACGTGGAACGCAGATACGTCACCAGGAGACATGGTCCAGAGGTGGGTCGACGAAACATGCGGCTGCTATGGGTGCAGCCACAGGTTAAGCTGGTAGGTGGCGTAGCGAACAGCGAACGGCCACAGAAAATTGGGTGCACCAGCATGGATTATGGAGGTACGAGCCATCTCCATGACCAAACCGATGTGTCACTCAGCGACCCCATTCTGCTGCGGGGAGTCCGGAAGGGTGTACGTCTTGGTGATGCCCTCCGCACGACAGAAGCGACCAAGGCAGCCAGAGGCGAACTCGCCACCAATGTCGGAGTGAAGACGCAACACAGGGAGACCTCGGTGCACACGCGCAAAGACAAGCCATGGGATAAGAACGTTAGGCACGACGGCCTTCCGTTCCAGGGGAAACACGGTGGTGTAAAGAGTGTAATCGTCGACAAGCACTAGGAAGTAACGCTCACGACGTGGCCCATGGACGGGGGCGGGGCCCCAGACGTCCATATGCAGGGTCTGTAATGGTGCAGTGGTGGGGGGGAACGAGGAGGAGTGAGCGGCATGGCGGAGCCGGC